CTCTGCCACAAAAAACAATGGTGAAGTAGTACCTTTGGTAACAAACTGTATGGAACTGCAGAACATCCTCCTAAGCGACACATTGCAAAAATGGAAAAACAAACACCACATCTACTCTCCTTTAAATTGGAACTAATGATCAACAGTCATGTATATATATGGTGGTAAAATTCAATGGAAATCAAGAAGGTGGGACAGGGAGGAGGGGATGGATAAATTTGCACCTAAAGTGTAATTTGCACCTACAGTGCATGCGATCTGGGAGATACACACTCTTACAACGTTGTCTAAAAGTGTATAAAAGTAATGCATGTAATCAAAACGTTTGTACCCTATAGTACTCTGAAATGAAAAAAAATACAGGAAAAACTAATATTTGTTTTGGGGATATAGATAAATATTGCAAAAATCTTTAGAGAAATGAAGACTCAGATGATCCTTCTGGGGGTCAGAATTGGGCTGCAGCCTCTGGTAGCTTCACAGTTTCTGTTTCTTATGCCAGTGGTGGGTGCCTAAGTAGTTACTCGATCATAACTCTTAAAACTGGAATTTGTCAAACTGCAGCTTGGGATGTACATTTGAATAATTTTTTAAATGAAAGAGGAAAGAAAATAGCAAAATTCATTGCAAAGATCCTTTGCAAGAACTACTCACGTTGGAACAAAGCCACAGCTGATTGTAATGCACCATGTGACAGAGAGGACCAGGATGCCATGAAAATAGTCCTGGCTAGAAATAGGTCATTTGGTCCTTGGCTCACTGGCACCTCTGTGGATTCTCTGGTACACATTGTTCAATCTGATGAGCAAGGCAATTCCATCTGCAAAGGATTTGATGTGTCACTTATATTTTACCACACTTAAAACTGAATTATACTGTTACAGAATTGGAAAAACACATTGCTGATCAAAATAAATTACATAGGAAAACATTATAAAATAACAAAAGTATCTTCCTCAGGAGTGATTTAAAAAAAAGAGTAACCAGGGATGGAATAGAAAATACGAATGGAAAACACAATAGAGCTGCTTTGGAAAAAACTTTAGAATCACATGGTCACAGTGCTTTTGAGAATCATGTGGTGTCCGAATCACTTCAACCACATCTCATTAAAAACACTGTGAAATGTATTAAATGTATTGTAGGATGCTTACTGAATAGCTGCTTTTAAATAACCTAGTGCCTAGTTTGGAGTTAACCATTTCTGCCTCCTGCATCAAACCAAAATTGTCACAATGTTGAGCTAGGTGTGGGGACTGAGGTTTGAGACTCATATTTTTCTAAGGGAACAGGAATTCAGTTAGGCAAATATTTTTGAAGATGATGTTTGAGTAAAAAATCAGCATCTTGAGAATTCTTAAGAAATTAATTTTGAAAATTTCCTTCCCTCCTTCCTTCCTTCCTTTCTCTCTTTCTCTCTCTTGATCTTTCTTTCTTTTTTTGTCTTTTCCTTTTCTTTTTAGACACAGGGACTGGCCATGTTGCCCAGGCTGGAGTGAAACTCCAGGCCTCAGGTGATCCTCCAGCTATAGCCTCCTGAGTCGCTGGAATTGTAAGTGTCAGCCACTGTGCCCAGCTCTGAATCTTCCTTGGAAAAAAACAAAGGCAGTTATTATTTTAAAGGCATTATTGTTACAGCACTGAAGTCTTGGAATTCTTGGATCCAGCTACTATATGTTGTCAACTTTGTAGCAACTCATCGAAGAGAACAGTATTATTAAACGCATTTGCATGAAAATCTTAGAGATATTGTTGTATCTCCCTTCTCTGTTCAAACTTCTTATGCAGTAGCCAATGCTCTGTGATGTCTCAAACTTTTAATCACTAATGGAAAAGAGAAGTTTAAAGCATTAAAGAAAAATAATCAGAGGAAAGAAGCATTTGATTTACAAAATTCTGAAACAATCACTTTAATGTTGCTTTTGACATGTATGCAAAGTCACTGATACTCCTCCCTTCCAGAGGTGCAGCTTAATTCCCTCCCTGTGAGTGTGGCCTGGACTTAATGGGTCACTTCTGACTGACAGAACAACACTGATGTAATAGTTTGTGACTCTGGTGTAGGACATAAAACTCACTGTGGCTTCCACCTTGGTCCTCCCTCTCTCTGGGATCATGAGCTCTGGGAAGCCAGCTGCTGTGTCATACGTAGCCCTGTGCAAAGGTCCGTGCCAGGAACTGAGGCCTCCTGGGACCAGCCAACAAGCAGTTCAGGCCTCTTCCAGCAGCCATATGAGTGAGCCACGTTTCGTGGAATCCCCAGCCCCAGTCCAGCCCTCAGATGACACTGCCCCAGCTGACAACTGGACTGCTACCCTGTGAGAGGCCCTGAGCCAGGAGCACTCAGGGAAACCTCTCCTGGATTTCTGACCATCAGAAACTGTGGGAAATGATAAATATTTGTTGTTTCGGGCTGCTAAGTTTTAGATAATTTCATACGCAGCAGTAGATAACTAATAGAATTTGCAAAGAAAGAATGAATTATTGCACTTTAATTTTCATCTGCTCTACATTAATTATAAGATATTAAACATGTCATTTGTTTTTAGGAGGTAAGAAGAATTTCCATGGCTAAATAGGGTGTATTTTATTACCGCTCACAACCATCCATTTACTTGAACTTCTATTTCCAACTGTGACCCAACTGAACACAAAAGGAAGATCCGGGCCATGCTAGGCTGATTCTGTGATGTCCCCCAATAACCACCCCCTGCTTATTCACCTTCCCCCAGTTATTCAGTCACCACCGCTAATGTAGGTGCTCCTGTGAAGGGATTTGCAGGTACAATTAAGATCCCAGATCAGTTGACTTTAGGACAAGGGATTATCCTGGACTGGACTGTCCTAATCAGTTGAGCTCTTAAATGACTAGAGTCTTCCTGAGCATGAGATTCTGTGGGGAATTAGCTACGCTCCCAGCAAAAAATTGGGTCCCTTAGGCAGGGGCCATCACAAAGGATAAGGAAATAATAGAATAGAGAAATAAAAGAATACACAGAGATAAAAGTACAGTTTTATAGATTTATGAAACAAAGAGGGGGTACTTGGGGGACCCCACAGTATTCCTGTAAAATTGTGAGGCCCAGAATAAAGTTTCACATGGGTATTTATAGGTACAGAGATCAGTTGTCAGGGGCAACAGGTTTACATAATAACAGGTAGTTAGTTTTACGTTAAAAGTCTTTCAAAAGCCTTCTATAGATCTCTTAATTAACTCTATCTACGTGAACAAACAGTTACAAAATCTGTCAAAGATAAACTTCTAAGTTCTAAGATAAAGCTATCACTTAACAGAAGGTTAAACAGAGATATAGTGGCTCCATATTTCTTTATCTAGTTATTGTGGACGGAGACAGGTAGTCAGGAGTGAAGCAGGAACTGTCCCTTGGGCTAATTGTTTTTAGCTGCAGGTATCTGTCTCTCAGGTGGACACTCTTTGATCAGCTCTCATCCCATGGCTCCATGCAAACCTGCTTTGTCGTTCAAAGCAGGAGAAAACCACAGGTTTGAGACTCCAGCGTCACCTTGGAAAGCAGCTGCTACTGACCTTTGAGATGCCCTCCTGAGGAGAGGCAGCTTTTGATATGCAAACTAACGCGTTCACATATTCCTTCAGGGCAAAGCCCTGCAAAACTCAGGAGATAATTTCTGTCTCTAATATAGTAATCTATGGAGCTACAAGATTCACAGTGTGAGAGGGACTCAGTGTGAGGAAATTTCTTCACTGTGAGCTTTGAAAGTGGAGAGGCCACATGGCAAGAAATGCTGGGGGGCACCAGGAGTTGGGAGCTGGCCCCCCAACCCCCACCCTGATAGCCAGCAATGAAACAGGGACCTCAGTCCTGCAACTGCCAGAAACTGAACTCTGCTCACAGGCTCCACATAAGCTTGGGGGAGGACCCAACCTCAAGATGAGGACAAAGCTTTGTGAAACCCTGAACAGAGAACCCATCCACACTGTGCCTCATAAGCACATAACATTTTTTCCACTGGAATGAATTTATAAACTGATATGTACTAGTCGCATGAAATAAAATATTTCCTAACTCTTTTAGTATTTTTATGTTTACAATTTTTATGTGAGTAAATTAAATTTTAAGGCAATGAGATTTCATTTATTCATTCAACAAAAATTAATTTAGTGCCTACTTTGTACCAGGATCGTCTTTACATACTGGGGATACAGCTTTGACCCAAACAGCCCAAAGCCCCTGTGCCCATGTGCCTTACATTCCAGAGGCTTCGCAAGAACGAGACAAAGCCATCGGAGCATCTGCAGTGAAGAAGTAACAGGACCTGACACACATTAGCAGGACTGCTGACTACTATGGGGAGGACATTGAGGGCAGCAGGTCAGGGGACAGTGCTACTGTCACAGGTCAGGAGAGAGAGTCGGTGGGACTAAGAGGGGAAGTGGCCTGAGGGATGAGAGGGACAGAGGGAAGGGAGGAGAAGCAGCAGCTGAGGAACAGGAGCAGAGGGAAAGAGTTCTAAAGCAGAGGAATTCTCAGATTTAAACACAGTGTTTTATAAAGTTTAATAAACATATGTACAGAGCCCAACAGGGTGTTCTTTGTATTTGGTAATTTTTCTT